TTGAAAAAGAAATCTCATACTAGATGAAACAATTTTGCAGTATGAGATTTCTTTTTCAATCACTTATGAGAAGCAAGCGACTTGATAGCAAATATACATAAGAGAAGTAATTGAAACTGAAAACTAGTAGAGTTTTTCATGCTGTTGCACATTTTCCATACAAAAATTGTAAGAACTGAATGATTTCGATACTCTATGTTTCAGCCAAAGTGTATAAATGTTCGATACATTTAGTACGAATATAATACTGATCAGAATTTTGATTACTTTTGAGTACTACGTCATAGTCTCAGTTCTTACAATTTCTCAGCTATGAACAACGAATGCCTGCCAAGAATGTTCATTTTGTGAATATCCAAATTATAATAGTTAGAAACGATTAATTTCACTGGTGTTTAGCGCAACACACTCTTAAAAAGTTCATCACCTAACATTTTGCTTCAAAAATGATTTTTCAGAAGTATATTAACCAAACAAGAAATTTGTTCTGCATGAAGAGTAGTGTTTTTTAACTTTGTATTAGTCTCTGCATGATTCTTTTATAAATTAATCGAGCATTTTATTTTGCAAGTTACATATTGTTGGGGATCAGATATTATTTAATCAACTAATTTGCATATACATACGTTGTAGGATGAATAAACTTCTGAATTTGGTAGGCAACGTTTCAGCTACTAAAGAAAATTCAAAAATTTTCAATTTTTGCTGAATTTGATATTAAACAAACAGGGTTCAGTTTTTGCGATGAGGAGAATAAATTTCATATACTTTTACCTGAAAAAAAACATTTGAGGATTACTTCTAAATTTTTTACTGCCTTCTGCATTCCGTTACTCAACATATATTCGCAATCAGTGTAAAAATTACTGCGGTGATAGCCAACCAAATAATACTATTCATATCACATGGTAAAGTGATTGCTGTGCACACTATATAGTTTTGAAAATTACAATTTTAATTTTTAGTTTTTATAGTCAGAAGAATAACAGTATAAATGAATATCTTCATAAATGTGTCTGACCATCCCATTTAATACTCGGATATGGTACTATGAAGAGAAATATGATGTGTTGGTAGTTTCCAGAACAGTATGAAAAATAGTTCAAATTGGAAGTTGGCAATAAGTATTTGAATTTTTTCGGCCTTGTTATTCTGATGAAAAGATATTCGCAGTCGTAAGTGGACTGTTGTAGAGCTGGCCAGATGCGTGATTTTAAATTTTACTTGGCTCATCATATGCCAGTGAAGTTATGTTATCGGCTGATACAGTTAATCACTTTCTTACAGTTGCCTAATTAGTGATGATTTGGCCAGTAAATGGGATCCTTAGTAGAAAATGGACAATGATCAAACTGCAACAGCATCTAATGCAGCGATTTTCTTGACTGATTTCTTAAGTTTCTTAAAGCTGTTTCTGCTTTACGTGCATGAATTGTTATGTTAAAAGTGATTTTGAAGGAATCGCAGTCTCATTTCGGTCGATATTCTGTCTATGACCGTGCAACCTTATTTAGTTACAAAATCGATCTCAGATTTCTCTCCAACTGATCTGCTAGGAATTCTGAAGTGGGTTATGAAAATTCGTTAGATACTTTATAATGCGAAGCTGCCACACTGGATGAAGTTTCATGCTAACAAGATTATTCACGTCTCTTTTCAGCATTTGCTCCCACATAATTTAGGTTTTGTTGTGCTATTAATAAAGATAATTTTCTCTTGTCCCACTCCTAGTGTACTACCCTTCAATGAAGTCTTCCCCGAACATCTTTAATTGCTCTATCGTTATGTAAACGGCTAATATATTGCATTACTAAAGACAAGAAGGTAAGGCTATTATCAACAATGCTTGTCTGAAGCTAGAAGAAAAGTTTTTTAGCAAGTATGTTTTATTGGCAGTAATTTTTCAAACGCGACAACACGAAAAAGTTTAATCGAGAACCAGAAACAGCCAGTACAAATGGAATTTGCTCGTTTCAATTGGTACGAAAAGACGTCAGTAAATAAGAAAGTTGGTCAAGTAATTAAAAGGAGAAAACATCCAAAAGAGATGAGATGTGCTCACTCTCGTACACGCGCTTTGAGCCATAATTTTTTGAAAAGTTACTGAGCAAAATTGATTTTGCTCATACTTTGCATAGCTAAAAATTAATCTGCACGTTTGGAAAAATTAACTTGTTTTAATGTTTGTGACTCAAATTTTTTACAGAATGAGTATATTTGTCCATTAGGACGTCATATAATTTCGGACATGCGATTCACAAAATGTTTCTAAGTTATCTTCAAAACTGTTCAACTTCGGTAAAAAAGAATTTTTAAATTTATACAAAAATTTCAGCAAGTTTATCTAACATGATGACATCTTGCATTTGTTTCAAACCTCAATTTTGGAATTACAGTCTCTCAAATTTTGAGAGTATTTGTGTCATTGTATATTATGTATTCAAAACTGATAGTTGTGATTGCCAAGTCCATTTTTTTTCTTCGTTAAATAGTATTAGAATGGGAAATGATACAGTTTTTGAAGTTTCCCTATTCTAGAATAATGAATTGTTAATGGTAGAGTATTTGCAAAATATAAACATTAAAAAGAGTACTTGCAAATATAGACACAGTTACCTTATATGTAGAGATGAACAATGAGAGAATGGTTAAGGTATTATGTAATTTTTAATGATTTCAAAAGTAACCATTTATGAAGCAAGTTGACTGCTTGGAAGAGATGTTTATGATAATAACCACTAAAGAGGTACTTGTTTCACTGCAATATAATCCGTATATGGCTCAACAAAGTGAAGGCAGTCTCGATTTTCTGAACCGATTCTCAGCTGGTGCTCCTGGTCCCGTTGCATCGAAATCTAAAATAGAGTTAAGCTGATTAAATACCATATGTACTTCTCATGTATTCCCACTAGTGCATGCTTAGGAAGAATACTGGAAGGAAAGCTTCTACTTCTGGCTGACAGCATGAACTGAACTACAAATGCTTTGCCTTGTGATAGAAGTAGCACAAGTTGAAACTAATAAATCGAGCATATCGCACAAATATGTAGTGAATAAGCTGACCGAGCACGTAATTAGTTGTTATGTTTTAGCTTCTTCGTGGCAGTGGCCAAAAAGAAAATAAATTATGTCTGTACTTCGCAAGTTATTACTTGTTCTAAAAAGACGAAAATAAAAGCAGAAAATTAACAACTCATTCATTTATCAGCCTACTGAAAAGTTAGACAGCAGTATTGTACTGTATCTTCGATAGAGCTGAAGAAATCAACGTGATGGTACATGAAAGTGACTGACAAGCTCAATAGCTCAGGTTGATGAGGACAAAGGCGCAGATGCATTTCAATTTCCAGCAGTGTGTGTAACTAAGCAAGATGAGCGAGTACATGAATCGAAGTACATTTGTTAGGTGAATAAATTAATATTTTTATTAAGACAAAAAAAAAAAAGCTGACTAGGAGGTAATCCTCAAAAATTAATCAGTCCAAATAAACAGCTATGAACTAATGAAATAATTAAACTACCGCAACGAAATCATTTTAATTTGTAGTATACCCAAGTACTGAATGGCAGTATGACCTCTAGCATGTAAGAAAATGCTTGAAGTAAAGTGTAGTAATAATTACAGGAATAATTTTTTTTGTGAGGAATTTCTCGAACGTTGTCTGCCCCATTCCTGCACTGTAGATACAAAGTTTTTAATTTACGACAAAAGCATTGCAACTGTATTGATGAATATAACTTAGCTGCAACTCTCTATACTGAATTTTGACCTGATACTGAACTCAAAACTAACTGAATTTTGACCTGATACTGAACTCAAAACTTTCGTATCAGGAACCATCATTTCATTTTTTGTGGGAGTAGACGACGCGCACAGACATAAAAAGGAGAAAGACTGAACTGTGCTGCGATTATGGCATGGTAGGGAGGTAGTGATCCAAATATTTACGAGGGTGCGTTTATATATCTTTATCTATTCCGAAAATATTAGTAACTTCTAATCAGTCAAGGTTGCTGCATAATAAGTCACGTATTATAGACAGTAAAAGTGGAAAGCGAGAGAATGGGAGGACAGGAAATCCTGCGAGTGATTGAGTGATACTTGAGTTTTCTGCCTTCCTCGTTGGGTTAATGTGCACGAGCGCCGTCTTCTGCACAAAAAAAATGCGTGCAAGCATTTTTGGAGGGAAAAGTGCTTGTGAAACATTTTGAGATGTCATATCAGCGTAAGCGTTCCTTTACCTTTCTGATGCCATGCACATCCTTAGCTTCACTCTCTCTAAATGTCTCCTCCTCATTTGGTTGCTTGCTCACCCTACGCTATCCCTTGTTTTTTATCTATGCGCTTATCTTACCTCTTTAATTAAATTCTCTATTGTTTCGTTACACGTAGAATAGTTCAGATACATGTGATTCAATGCAAGCATAGGCTTGTCCTAATAGATTCTTATTTGAAACCACATTTATCAAACAGCAATCTCATCGCGTCATTTTCATATTTTTCGTTAGGTGCACTGGAGGTTTTCATTTTTTATATATTTTGCTTTTCTAATTTTTACTCGTCGGCCCGTCCAGCTCTTTTCACGTAATCAAGATTGCTGTCTTAAAGAGGTTACTTGCAAATATATAAACAATGATACTTCATTTTGTCTCACTGTTTTCTGTCGCACTGGCCAAGATTGTACTTCTCGTGCCTCCTTTATTTTATGTTGAAGCAAGTTTGTGTTCATACTATGATAATGCACAAAATAGTCATCAGTATTTGTATTTCATAAATTTAGAATTTTTATTGCCAGTGAGTTCGTATTTTCACTATTTTTCAGACATTTTAGTAACCTATTCTCTAGATTTACATCTTTTTATCGATCAGGATATTCATTAATTTTATTTCTTCATCAGTCGTTCACTCATAGCTCAGCAGTAGCAATTACGTGTTTATATTGGTATTACGTTAATTCAAATTTCGAAAAGATCTTTCATTCTCATACTTATTTTTTTAGATGGATCCAAGTACAATTTTCGGTCTGTCAAATAAATGCACAATGAAAGGAAATCGTTTGGACGATTATGTCCGAATTGAACCACTTGGCAAAGGTATCACGCCTAAACTGTAGCAGTTCCCTTACACAAATCAAATTACTTCCTTCCAGACTGGAGATTTTCGTTTTTTAAAAAGGCACTAATTTGGGTAGTTTCTTTGACTTGTAACTGTAATATTTTTCTTTCTCCGCAGGAACGTATGGGTCTGTTTACAAAGGAGTAAATAAGCGTACAAATAAACAGGTCGCGATCAAAAGGTTAATTATCCATCAGTTTGTAAAAGATGGTGTGCCACTGATTGCTAGCCGTGAAATCGCTGTATTAAAGAAGTTTCATCACCCAAACATTATCCAGTGCGTTATTTTTTTTCTTCTACATTTTTAAATTATTCTAAGAAGTAAGAAACTAAAATTACTACTAAAATACAAAAGTCACATGTTATGATAATCTTTTCTATGATTTCAATCATAGCATATTTCAGTCGCGATATAGCTAATACAGTGAGCAAGTCATTTACTTGCATCATTCTTTTTTCATCTATCTTCATTATATGTTATTGCATGCATTACCGACTAAATTTTGAGCTTACTTCCTTCCAGACTGGAAGATTTTGTTTTGGAAGAAGATATTTTGTACATTATTTTGGAATTGATGGATACCAATCTTCAAACATACATCACTTGTTTGCCTGAAAAAGAATGCATGCCTGAACCAGCAGTAAGTATTTAAAAAGTGTTTAATAATTGTTGCAATCCCTATCCTTGAAATACCTTTAATTACGAATTTGCAGAAATTTCCTCGATCATTAATTTTAGATTTATTTCTTAATTAGTTTGATTGCAGATAAAGCGTTTTTTATTTCAAATTTTGCAAGGCGTTTGTTACTGTCATGAAAAAAATTTATTACATCGCGATTTGACACCAGAAAATCTCTTGATTAAGAATGATGGTACCATCAAGATAGCTGACTTCAGTCTTTCAATAGAAAACAAGTATCTTCTAAAGGATTTTTATTACAGAGTAATTTTTTTTGTTGTTTACTTTATTATTCGTTTATTGAGAAAAAAGCTGAAATTAAGTTCAACACTGTTAGTCCTAAAGTCTTCATTTTCTGTTCAACGCCAGAAAGATTTCTGTAGAATTCGTAATTTAATTACAGATTTATGTTTATAGCCTCGAAACAAGTGGTACTGGGCTCCAGAATTGCTATTTGGCAATTGCATTTATTCATTAGAAGTAGACGTGTGGAGCATTGGATGCATTTTTGCTGAGATGGTTATCAAATCACCTCTCTTCATGTCTTACTCGATGACGGATCAAGCCTTTCGTATTTTGAGGTTCGTCTGATGCATTTTCTTTCTGAATATGCATTTTATCATTATTCATTTGGAATATCATTTTCAGTGTACTGACTTCTCCATATCAGGATATAATTATTGGGACGGAAAATCTGCCAATGTTCTTAAAAGTGATTCCAGGATGTGAAATTGATTATCTAAAGGAACTCGTTGGAAAATATATCAGTGCTGACGGAATCAGGGTTATGAGGGTGATTTCTTTTCTAAATTTTCTAGTAATGGTGTGCTGAATTTTGATATGAACTAAATTACTAAGATTTGACTCTGTATTAAATATTGTTATTTCTTTCAGGCAATGCTTGCATGTAATTCAAGGGATCGCCCAACAGTTAAGCAAATTTTAAAAAATCCATATTTCAGTGATGTCGATCGCAAAAAACTTCCAGCTGGAAACTATGATGGGTCTTCTTGAACGTATTTTCATACCAGCTAAAAATTCTTTACAAATTTCATTTTTTTCTTTGAAGAAAAGTATTGCATGTGAAGATCTGTTCAGCTCATATTCACGGAAATCTTTTATGATCAGTATGCTTTTGAGGTTGGCAATATCTAATATCTTGTTTTATCACCTTCTATTTAACATCGATTTAGCTCCATTATATGCATGTTTTTCAAAGTGTTATATGGTTTCATTTACCGGAAAATCTTGTGAATCATCCAACTTCTCTGAAGTTGTTTTCAACTCTGGTTGTGAAACTTTGCAGCGTCATTCGATGCTGTGTATTTACTATATTTGCATCATTTACCATGTGAATTATATCGAGTCTTTTATTTGTAATCTGAAAAGTAACAGTTTAAATCTTGTGCAATAAAGTCTGTATGACAAAGTATTTTTTCATAGTTGTTCGTTACAAATCTGAAATTGATCATCATTTACTTTGAAAAAGCTGGAGATTAATATCAAATTATTATGAAAGAGAAACAGTAATCTGTCAAAAATTACTATCTGAAATAACGAACTCATTGGAAAACTTGTCAATTTGTTGGATGTAAGCACCTAACAGCACCGAACTTGATATTTCACTCTCTGCTATTCATCGACCTTCTCCGAAAAGTGCAGTAAATGATTTTTTTCTTTTCATTTAAGTCAGAAGATATCCGCAAAGGTTTAGGAGCAATCAATGCACTCCTAAGGCTATACAATTATTGCTTTACCAGGTCATGACTCTTGAAGGAACAAAAATTATGGATTTAAGACATTCCGGTAAAATAGCAGAACATTTTATTGTTGATGGAATAAGTGGTAAGTAAAAGTTAAAGTGTTATCTTAGGATTTAAAGACCGTTGAAACTGTAGAAACTACATGTAACTTCTAAAGGTAATAAACATTCAAATTTTTTCATCATTAATTACCTTTGGCTGTCCAAGAAGCATTAAATATGAAATATTTTTTGAAAATAACGGTGTTTTATCAGTTGAAAATGTTATAATGACAGAAAGTTTCTTATTAGCTGGAAATGAGAACTAATATGCATTTCGAAAAGTGCTGATATTAATCACATCAAGAAATTACGATCAAGAACCTTCTTATTTGTTGAATGCAGTTATCAACCTTTAGTATTTTTGCAGTTATCGACAAAATTTGAGAAGCAAAGTCTAAACGTATGCTTGAAGCTAATAACTGATCTGAAAATTATAGCTTGAGAAATAGGTACAAGTCGGGAAAGTAGCAACTACGATCACTATCTTGATTACATCGAGTAAATTGTGAAACTAATTACATTTTCAGGTAAACAATACGGTAGTAGTTATTGTTTACCCCACTGCCGATTTAGATCAAGAAATGAGTGAAAAAGTGCTTGTGGTATTGAAAGCCGATTCTAATGGTAACAAAGATAGTACAGTGGTATTAATAAAAAATTTAAGTGAATGATACTGATAATGACATACTCATTTAATTTTTTTAAGAAAAGAAGAAGAGTCAAAGAAGCACTAAGAATGTCTTTTGTTTGAAATTTTCTTGCTGAATTATTACTAGGATTTCAAATAAAAAACTTGAAGCAAGAGTTAGTGACGTGAGCGTAAACAATGAATTATAATTTATGAAAATAAGAAATATTTTGATAACGAATTTTCTCATTCTCTTTGAATGGTCCTCATAATATTTTGAGAAGTTGCGAGTTATAGACTTAAATTTTGCAGCATTTTAAGATAAAAGGATAAATGACTAGTTTAGACTATGATAAAGACAACATATGTAAATGACAATAAACAGTAATCGTTCATAAGGAATATAAAGTTGAAGTTGTTGAAATTTGGCCTGGATCAGTGATTCTAACTAAAGTATATGCTGACGATAAAGACAAAGGCTTGAATGCAAATATTCGCTTCTCTTTATCATCGAGAAATAATCAGTGTGTATAAATCGTTTCATTACACATGCTTTAAAAGCTTTTTTCATTACAAAGATGAGCAGCTAGATCCACATCACAGAAACCTTTTCATTTAGTTTATATTGATTAAATGATGTTTTCTTAAGATTTCAAAAAAATCTAAGACTTTTTGAGGGACAAATCTTTCACTCATTTTTTTATTTTTCACAAAGCCTTTATATATAACTAGCATTACTGGATCAGTCAGTTACGATTTGCAAATTTATCTCTGAAACAATTTCACTCAAATGCAATTTATAAAATATATTATACAACTTAATGCACTTGACTTTGCGAACATTGTGGTATTATGAGAAGATATGAAAGTTAATTGTTCATGTGTCAATCTGATCTCTTTATTTTATATTTATCTCGAAGAAATATTCGAAAATAGACTTGTTCAATATTGACATTCAACACTTCGAAAACTCGCCTTAATAAAAGGCTGAAGTCTTTTCTTCTCTGCATAAGTTTAATTTCATGAAAATATATCATTAGGCTGGTCATGAAATTGTGAAGATATGCAAGATAAGAGAATTTATCAGGCTGAAAAAATAAAAAGTCTTCTTAATAAGAATAAAATTCTTTCAGATTTTGAAAGTGAGGCTTCATACAACTGAGGCTGTCATTGGCCTAGCTTAAACTCATCCACATAGATTGTTGTAGTGATCAAGGTAGGCTTTTTAGTTGAAAATCTATTCAATAAATCTAAGCTCTTCCAAAGAAAGGAAACAATCATAAAGTATAACCATAGCCGCTTTTTTGTTCTCTTGCACTGAAATCCCTTAGGTACACTATCACTTTCAGCTACTGCATCTGTTATCATTCATATTCTTGAATTAACTTCATTAAGTCATGCTGATAATGATAAGGACATTACATATTGTGTCACCATCCATCCATTTCACCTTAAAACTTGACAAGGTAAAGTATGTTTACAACTTAAATTATATAGTCATCTATACATTCCAAATGTAGGGAAAAAGTATGGCATGTACATTCTAGATAATATTTGTATTTTTCTTGCATTTTATTCTTACAGTAAAACTGAAGATTCTTTGTGTGTCGATATTAAAGTGCTAAAATTTTTAATACAATTCCCAGTTTGCTCTCTCACAAATTTGAAATCGGTTATACTCTCACAAAGTATAAACTTCCAAAACACTTCAGTCAAGAATCACATTTATTTAGTGCGAGCTAAAATTGGTAATTCCAGTGAACAGTTTCGACAGAATATAAAATATCCAGTAATGGTTGGTAAATATGTGTATCAGACCACAGTCTGTATTTAACTAACAATATATGACAGCTGCATTATATTATCATCTTATTATTTTTCTTTCATACATTAAATGAAAATAAGACTTTCCTGTTGGTTGAGCACTTTAAATATGTGTAAATAAACTGGATAAGACTTCCAGAATGAATCTAGATTTTACTTTATAGCTAGTCAATTTTTTTTCACTTCATAGCTAGTCAAAAAATGGTGATGGTTTACAATTAACGCAAGCAGCGGAGATTTGTTTACTTAACGAGAATTGGATCATGGACTTCAACCCTGCATAACATTCAATTAAATTAAGTAACATTTATAACGAATATAATAAATGAATTACTGAGTAAAGTTTATTTTTTAAGTTTGCTTATTTTACCATATTTTATTTCCAATGATGAATCACAATAAAGTTTATGTCTACAAAAAATGTAAGTATAGGTTTCATATCAGAGGCTTCATTTTTTTTACACACTGCGTTGGATTTTTAGCGATGAATGAGTATCTTACATTTTACATTTTATGATAGAAGTCAAACACTGAAGCTAGTCTTTCCTGTTTTTTTACTTTACTGAATTGCCGTCAAAGTAACATGTAAAATTGATTGTCAAAGTAGAAAGCTAGCAGAGTTTCATTTAAATCTTTTGAATTTCATTTACACAATACTCAAAATATTTACAAGTTGAATTGACCAAAAATCAATTTGTTTGATAAATTTCAAGGATCCTGCAAACGTATATTGTGGCTGCTGGCTCATTAAATTTTTGGAACAAAGTTTGTGGACTTTTAATTTAGCTTTTACAAAAAGTATAGAGCCTTCGTATTAGGTAACGCAAAAAGTCTTACCCTTAATCAGTCTTTACATTTCCACTTCTTTCATTCTACTCCAAATTTTTTAAATTAGTTCGTAAGAAAAAATTGAAATTCATAACAAAAACATTTTATTCTTAATTATCAGACTTCTTCATGACATATTTTCAAAGTTTCAAAAAACTGACAGACTTAATAGACTGTGGAAGGCTGCAATCTCAAACATGCTGCTAGAAATTGCATTTATTGGTTCTATTAATAACTTTTTATTGAAAAATATCGTTTTGAAAGCAGCATTAAAATTTTTTTTTAAAGTCTTTAATTTTGAATTACTGCTTTTTTCAAATATTCAAAGATAATTACTTTTTAGAATTCACTGAATCACACTTTCACTTTATTTTTCACCTGGAAATTTTGCGGTTTTTTAAAATTTCTAAATTCAAAAAATTAGTTCAAGATGGAGAAGTCGCAGAAAATTACTGCTGTAATGCAGCAAAAGAAATTTTTAAGGGGAAATTAAAAAGAAAAGGACTGTTGAGTATTTGCTTATTAATAAGGCAAAGAATATACTTTATGATAGTCTAAAGTGATATTCAATCTTGCGTAACGTCCTCTAATCAAAAGAACGCCAGATAAGAGAGAAAAGGTTATATGTTTCTGATAGATGGCGGATAATTATCTATAGCTCAAATAATAAATCCTACGTTGATTGGTACAGCATTTTCTCGATTTCAATAAACTTTTGGATAAGATGGTGGACTTCGGAAATGGAAGAAAAAGTATTTTATCTCTGCCTTTCCATATTTATAAGTACGCATTTTCTGGTATTAAAAAAGAATTTCGATAGTATTTCTTCTTCCTGAGTTATATCTCATATATTTTTTAATACTATTAAAACTGATTTATCGTTTATTTTGCTGAAATTTTTTAGAATTATCTTGCAAAGATTTTTTTTGGCCATTTATAGCTAATCTATCACAAACAACAAGTTTTTCTAGTAAAAAGCATAATATGCAAAAAAAGTTCGCGTTTGTTAATTATGCAACCAATTAGTTGTTGAAATATATTGTCTTCCATTTATTTTTGCTTTTCTTTAGTCTGAAGATATTAGAAAGATATGATGGGAAAGATAGCACTATTGATTTTGTTCTTTTTTACGAAGTAGTTCTATACCAAAATAACAACGAATATTCAATCCTTAATTCTTCTTATTAAAATATAATTGCCAATCTGAAAGAAGATTTTAAAAACAAGTAACCTTAATATCAGTAACAATGGATGCTAAGGCAACAAATCATTCCACCACTTTTGAAAAAATTTTGCCATGTCATTCTAGTTTTTATTTAGAGAGAGAGCAAGAAATTGCTTGAGAAAATAGCGCCATTTTTTACTGGTAACAACACTACTTTTCAATGATTCAGATCTTTTTATTAAAATATAATTACTATTTTTAATTTCTTATACTTGTGCGTCCATTTTTTTAAAGTCGAGGAATTTTTCCCACAGATTTTATTTATTACGAGTACCTGAGAGAATGGATGATTGGTTTTCCCTTCCTCCACTTGAATGGGAAATTAAGGCGAGTTTTCGAAGTGTTAAATGTCACTGATGTCCTTTTTTCACTGATGAGCAGGAGGCGCTTCGGTGAGGGCGTTTTTTTTTTCCTGGTGCTTTTCAAATTTTTGAGAAACTGAGTAAATTGATTCGAAATTCTTTTTTATCTCAAAACTTCATTTGTAGCCAGCTATAAGTGTTAAGTATGTTTGTACAATGAGTTACTTATTTAGCATTACTTGCTAGCATGTTGAATTAGTGGAAAAATGGAAAGAGCGCGGAAACTGAGTTATTAAAGCAGACTTGTTGTTGTACTGGACCGAATATTTAATTTTTCATTGTGAAATAATAGTTGTTAAGAAAGAAGATGCGTTTGTACCATTATTTGTTAATCGACTTTTTTGCTACTTTGTGTATTTCTAATATTATTAGTAAATATGGAATATGCCAACTGTAAAATTCGGTAGGTTTCTGAAAAATGTATAATATATTAAGCAGAACTGAAATACTCAGTACATATAAAATAAAGATGTTGTGGACTCTTTGGTACTCCTTACTTATGATACTCCTTAAATAAATCTCGTCTTTCTCTCGCCTGTATGAGGTGCAATGTGAATAGTAATAAAAATTCCAGTTCTAAAGAATGTGATATGCTCTCAACCATTTCCAACACTGCTCCGTCTGCCCGTGCTACTGACGAGGCATTATTTATTTTTCTTCTCGGATTCATGGAAGCTAGTAAGGAGAAGAAAAGGAATTACTTTGATTCATCATCCACAGAGGCTGAAAACATGCTCCTGTACCCATTCCTAATGCATTTCGATCATTTCCACTTCTACTCCTTTTCTACAAACACTCCCTTTCACTTCATAGCCTTCTTAATTCTATACCAAAATATTATCGTTTCTTAACCATTTATTTTTGTTCATGTAATTACTAAACACCTTCCTTTGTGCTTCATTCCAATTAAAAATTTTTCATAGAACTAGCTGCATGAAATTTATCTTATCGCCAGCTTAAAAAACTTGATTTTCTTATGTTCATTTACTTGTACAGATCATTATTCGTTTTGATTCTTTCCTTAACAAAAATAACTTTGATTTCCTGCGAATTTTAGTGGAATCTCATTGCTAACACGTGCTTTAGAAGTTCTTACATTCTGATTAAAATGTCAGAGAATAGGAAGCTTGCCATTGGGCTTAGACGAAATAGCAGGTTGTAAGAAGGAGTGATGAGAAAACGGTTTTGACTGTTGAGAAGACGGTTATTCTTTAAATATCGGTAATTAAGTAGTTTCGCATTTATAAAAAAAATGCGAACTCCCCACTAATTCATCTTATGTTTAAAGAATAACTGGCAGATTTACAACCTTACATTGATTTATATACTTGGTCTTTAAATGTTGATTACAGTTCAAAGTTTGAATCAAATTAAGGATTAGTCAAATATTGATATTTGTTATCATAAGATAGGAAAATAATAGCTTCAAAGCTTGAATCGGATGATTACTATGAAAAGGGGTAACAAAAAAGTGAGTTCCTTTGTTCAAAATAGCTTTTACTTGCACATTATTTAAATCAGTTTGTTTTGAAATGCGTGTTCAATGATTGTGCACATGTTTGCGATTAATCTTTCTTTGAATCACATGTCAATTACGACTCATTTCATCATTGAATTAATTGAGAATAAATAAAGTCTACAATAAAAGCCTAAAACATCTGCCATATGAGTAAGGAGATTGTCACAAAGCGGAAAATAAGTTGAATATATCATATTATTGTGACTAATTTGCTTTTTCCCGAGGAAGTAATACTTCTAAAAGCAATGCCTAGCTAATCTTTAGTCCTACGCAGCAAGTTAATCTTTTTATGACGCTTTGGTATATTTGGAGAATAAAAACATTTCACTTTTGCCAGGAGATAGCTCCGAATATTAACTTTAAAAATTTTATACTTATCAGTAGTTATTCTCTTTGGGCCAAACCGATAATCACTATTTTTTTCTTTTCTCTTGATTTATAATTACAAATGTGAAATTTTTAACTTCGCCATCTTTTGACGGATTTTTGAGAATTACCTAACGTAAACTATGTAGCCGTAGGATTCAAGAAATCTTCGATTCTTCCATGCAATCATTTTATCAATTTACATGTTGCTAAAATATAGAACTGCTTTCCATTGATACTGAGGAATTGAGCAAGATAATTTTGTTATGTGCATGAAAAATTATTCATTCGATGAGTTAAAACAAAAAAAGATAATTTTGCACTTTCTAGATGCCATTTTGCTTTTTTAAAATGAATAAAAATCTTTTTCTGTGATATTAATTGAATAGTTTCTCACAATGTTCAAAATCAGCGATTACATGATCGCCTGATTAATACTGTCATCTTTTTACAAAATATACTTTATCAATGACGTTGTGAAGTAACAACATCAAAACATGCTATTTTTTAAGTGCATCAAGTCTTACTCATCATGTGCAAATTAGCGCATTTTTTTGCAAGTATTGACAATATTAAACTAATTAGCTTAGAGACAAATAATAAGTCGGCTTTCCTGACTATTATGTGATTGTCACTAGTTTCTAGCAGCTTTGTGTATGAGTCAAAATGTCGAAGTTTAAGTTTATGATAAATTTAAGCAAGCGATAGCATTTTTCAGTGAACTGTAAAAACATATTTGTGCATAAGTAGATGATTTGTAATTTCACAGGAAGCTAACCATTTAATTATGTTTGCAAGATAAAGCAGACATGGGCTACTAATTCTAAGGTTTTTTAGTTATCCATTATTTGTATCAGCTGTCATTTATGTTTTGTTTAATGAGAAATAAATTCATATAAGTATGTAAGTTGCATGAAATTTTGCTGTTGTGATGAGTGAAGGATGAGCAAAATTCTTTTTTATTGGCTGTTAAATGCCAAAAATTAGATTATTTTTAGATGCTCTACAATGAAAGTTTTTTAATGCAGTTGAAACTAAAAATTATTTTATTTTTCTGACTCGTTTTAAGCTGCAGTGATGCTGATGAAAGCATTTTGTTGTTGCTCTGTTCCTATATTATATCACTATAATACTGTACTTTTCAACTTCTCTTGATGGACTCTAAGCTTTGTTCCGTTGCCTAGTTTTTGTTCTCAATATTCGATACAAAATTATATATGCAATTTTCAAAAATTATTTTCATTCTGGAAAAAAACTTTCATTCACTGAATTTCATGATCTCAAATCACAATTCTGCTCAAATTCTTATCCATATACTCTAAATATTCTCACTATGTGTTCGTAATTTCAATTATTAAATTTCTGAAATTAGATTAAATGAGAATTCTTCGTATGTAGAATTCTAATCAATGTCATGTTTTGTTAGCTAATCTCTCTACGACTAGAGAATGGAGGACAATCCAAAGGTTTAACTGATCAGTCTTGTGATTGCTGGATTACTGCCTAATAATAAGCTGTAATATGATATTTTCTGTCATATCAAACTTTACCGAATCCACTTTTGACTGAGTTTTCAAAGCGAGATAGCAACAAGGGCATCATGGCATGAAAATACTATAATTTCATTGTTTTTTAGATCATATAAAGTCTGAATCTTTCCTTCACTTTCCTCTTTAGCGTTAGTCTTAATTGTACAACCATCTTAAATATTAAGATTGTCTCGACTTTGCAGAAATGCTCCTTTTTCTGTTTTTGGATTCTATTTATATACAAATCATATATTATTGATAACATTCTCTTATTGGTGATCATACTCTACATTTAAATTTTACTGATTTATTTTTTGATGCACTTTATTGCTCTTTTTTAATTAGTAAGTTATCGTTTTCTTAATTATTTCGTGAAATTTCTAGTGGGTAATATTTAAGCATCGAAATTGCGAGAAATTAATCGATGACTCATCTTTATTATGTATGTTCAAAGATGCATTATTCCTGTTGCATGGAAGCTTAAGACTTTTCAGAAGAAAGTTTGTTCGAAACTTCTAAATGGTAGTGTACTACAGTTACAAGAAAACGTTAAAATAATGAATGCCATCGAGAAGTTAGACAAAATCTTACGACGTTTGAGCAGTAAAAATCGTCGTGGTAGCACAAGAAGTATTCTTCGCTCTTCAGACATTTCCGGTTTGTGTAGGCATGAGGATAATTTCGGAAAGCAACAAGTAGAAACTTCGAACAATGGTTGGAAAACTAAAGACGATTCTCGAGGACATTTTAAATCTATTGTGACGGCTATTCAAAATATCGAAATGAAAACAAAGACGAAGCTATCCTCAGTGAGTGAGAAATATTTCTGCTTGTTAACAGAAGTTTAACAATATGAAAAGCATTTCTAAACCTTAAAAATAGTTATAGAATATTTATCAAGTATCATTTACAGGAACAAACAAAGAAGGCAGTGCAGCGGAAAAATGAGTTTCATGAAGTCCAGGGAGAGGTACAAACTGAGTATTGCAAGATTTCAAAGGATAGAATGTTATGCTGTGACAAATACCAAACGTCTGCTACACGAATGTTGTTACCATCACTCCCATTAGTCACCGATGATTTGCTAGCAGAAATTACGACGACCGTTGACGACAAATCACGCCAATCGCAGAAAACTACTGAGAATATTTCTGATTATTCTGTGTCTGAAATGCAGGATGACGCAGTACGAAAAGTCACCTACGATATGGAGATGTATGAATCACTACCATCATCATGCAGACGTGAAAGTAGCTACTTATCAGGAGCTGACGTGCGTCACTGTTTATCAACAACGGAACCCTCAACATTGTCATCACTGTCGTCTTTTGGAATGGTATTCTCTGGAGCTCAACCTCGCTTTCATAGAACAGTTGAAACGATTATGAAGCACTCCTTTGATGTTGAAATGCAAAAAAAAAACAAAAATAGCTTGAAGGTGATTGCTGTCCCTCGACAGTTTGACCTTGCAGAAAATGCGAAGTTTGAAGATAGAGAAGTTCAAGTCCTAGATTATGGAAGTACTGCACAGCTACTTCAAGATAGTATAATAGCTACTAAATACATCACTACAGTTTTTGAGTTTTCATCAGGTGGTATTCCTGATTTAATTGATGACGTTCTTAATGAATTCAATTTGTGGTTTCAAGAAGAGACAGGTCTGCTAGGCATTGCTTGCGAAGTGCAATGGTCCGTACCTGAAAAGCACCGTCATCTTACTTCCGAAATAAGGTATAGTGGGATTTTACAGTGTATTCCTGAATTAGCATTCTATTTCCGAAAATAAAAAGTTTTGCGAACAATACGATGAATAAAAATAATTGTGACTTGGAATACAAATGGTTGAGTAGATATACGTATATGACGCAATCACAGGCATAATATCTTATTTGCTTCATTTTTTTTTCACTTTTCATTTTACTTATTCATTTTTATTTATTATTTATTCCTACTCTTTCGCCCTTTCCTCTACTTCAAACACAGTTATTGTCTTGATAACATTTCCTCTTTAGTTTTACTATAAATTTTATTAAAAGTAGCGCAGTATACAGAATGAAAGAAGCCCTTCATCACTCTCTTCGACTGAATAATCGCCGTGTACTAAATATGAAAAGTAAAAGTGGTTACTATCGTCTGCCGTTAACAATGATTTCTGCTGTGACAGAAGAAAACTGTTCTCGTGATTGTCAGTTTCACTGCTTTCAAGGTAAACAAATGATAAAATTTCAAAACTTCAGTACTTGTATTCAATGATTTTTATTACCATGATAGTTGAAGACTTGAATTTTAAATTCGAGTATTTTTTAGTAAATGTGCAATATTGGTGAAAATTTAGAAGGTTGATTTTAAAATAAATTTTGTTTTTATTAAGTTGGACTTGCAAGGTCTCTTTGTCACTACAACTGCATTTTTGATAATATTCAAAAGTTTTTTATTATTTTACTTGGATGTCTTATTGATTTAAGATTTTCACTTTCTAAAAGTCGGGAAATTTTTTAATGCTGTTCTTAAAGCTAACTTATATGGTGACTTAGGTGTTTACCGCCGTTTCTACACGTCCCTGTTATCATATCAGCATACAGATACAAGTTTATGGCATAGACCATATTGGAATTTATGTGGCATCAATCAAACAAATTCACCAAAACCGAATCCAACCCAATTCGTTTTTGGACGAGAGTGTACTAAGCTTGACAGTGGTAGCTTGGTAGCCATCAATGTTGTTGCATTAAAAATAACTCTATAATTTTTGGATTTTCAAGCTTTCCTTGTCTTAAAACGTTTAGTCTGACTGTGTGAGCGATTGATCGTTTATGAGGTTTGATGTTTCAGATTGAGTCACTACTTCTAACTTCCTCTTTCCTGTTTCGCGGATTTGAACTTAGAAAATGCACGGTTCATATCTTGATCCACAATTTTTTGTTGAATTAGCCAAAACTGTGAGCGTTCAGTTTTTTGTCAGTGAATGTAAATTTTTTTTTCTGTTTTAAATTAATTACATCGTCATTTCTAGTTCTCAATAACATTGTTAGATTGATTGGAAAGTGAAAATTTGCATCCAACATCATACATTAAAATTTTTATTAAAGTGTGTTCGATCCACTTAAAAATTCATTACTTTTATTCGTTTTAACTGAATTAAAGCTGACTGATTGCTTTAGTCCAAATTAAGGAATGCATTTCATAAAATACTGTTGTATGTTTGAAATATTTTGACATTAGCAATTTTTGAAAGCTCCAAATTTTGTGGTTAAGTGAATGTATGCTCGAAATTTTCGTAGTCCAGTTTGATGTTGATGAAAATCAAAATGCATTAAAGTGAGCTCAGTATTTTCCATTCATTTGACATTCTTTTGGTTTCTGTTTGCCTACGAAATAGAATAAACATTTTCATCAATTCTATTCCCTTTTTGATTTTTTATTAATAACTTGTACATACATATTGATCTTTCTTGGCAGCTAATATATGTACTTGAAGTGTATTTCATATTTCTTTCTATTTTTACTAATTTCATGACTGTTTTTGTCGCATTATAATCAATTCATAGGTCTCATTAGAATTCATTTTAGTCCAAATTCATTGTGTTATATATTAATGCTTTAATTTAAATTCATATTTTTTCCTAAACCTTAAATTTGATTTCATGCTGAAATAAGTAAAAATAGAAAAAAATTTTGATTTGATTTTCATCACAAATTTAGTTCTATATTTACGTTGTCATCCATTCTTTTCAAACATTTGGCTATAAAACAATAACTTAGGTTCCTTTCATTTTCTTGATATTCAGTTACTACCATTAGTCAACAACTTACATAAAATTAATTTATCACTTTTATTAGAATTAATGAAAATTGGATTTTGTTTCAGTATACCATCACTCAATCGTGGTCAATCATGTCCTGTTTTTTCTTCTCCATTATCTTTTTTTTTTGATTTTTATATTTTCATCATCTTTGTCTTCATTTATATCGGAAACTAAGCACTTTATTTCAATCAGATATTTGTCGCTGCTATACAATCCTATTTTTGAGCAATTTGAACATTTCATCTAAGGTTCTACGATGACTTTTTCGGTTAGCCATTTCACTACTGGCTTTATTATATTCATACGATGGTAAAGTATGGAAATAGAAACTACCAAGTGTATTTTGAATGAAAACTCAGTTCTATCCAGTTAAGAAGACAATAATCAACATAAATATTTATATTTTATATTAGGGAATTTGTCTAAATTATTGCTTAATGCGTCCGTTGCCATTAAAAAACTGCTTTGATGTTATGAAATGCAAATTCTAATCTTTTTTTCGGATCTTTTTATCAAAAAGGAAAAGATCTTTTTCGAAATTTAATCCTTGTTATAAAAATTTTACTTACCTCTTAAAAATAGTTACAGTTCATACATTTGGCACCAGCATTATTTTAAGCTGAGAAAAATATGACTAGCACCTTTTTTCTCTCTCTCTTTCCTATTTTTTAAATGATAACTAATCATGTTAAAAGTCGACATGATGAGATTTCAAGTTCCTTGCTGCTTAAACAGAGTTTTTCTCATTACCACCTTTACTTTCATTTAAATTTAACGCAGTCTTATGCTTTCTAAGATCTGTTTATTTAGTTCCATATCTTTGATAATAACTTCATTTTTTGGCGTTAACTATCATAAGATTTTCATAAACATGGTCCTGCTATTTTCTTTTGAAATTAATTTTTGGAACCCTCGGCACACAAAAATTTGAGATTTAATATGCAGCAAATTGCTGAAATAAATATTTATATGGTCTTGTTTTGTGGCATGAAAATTTGTCATTGGGGTTGTTTGATGCGAAACGCAGTATTAATGTGGAAAAGTACTCAAATTCATGTTTAAAGTCAATCATGCACATCAAAATGTGGAAGAGTATAATTCCAATAAAATTTAGTTTATGGGTTCGGTAGAGCAAATAATTCAAATACCAGGTGTGTTACATTCACCTTAACAGTTTAACAAACTTTGGTAGAACATATACTTTCCCAGTTACTCAAGGTAAACCAACCGTGATAATGCATTTTTAGCTGAAAGTGAAGGCGGAAAATGGCAAGGCAGCTTGCTTCGAATTGAAGTTCAAGATATCGATAATTTGCCATTTCCTGGCATTCACAATTTATTTTTGTAGCTCTTTCTTCTGGAGATTTGATTTAACGTATCACTGCAGCAAGTCACTTGGTGCTCATAAAATTCACTCATGCACTATTCTAAGATTAATGATATTGTCGTATTAGGCAAATATTCAAAAACAAGTCCGTGATTCAAATATGTTTAATATTGGGATTAAATTACTGAGAATGCTGAATATTGAGCATCATTTCAGTCAAAACCTTTGATATTCGTATTCAGCTGCGTAGAGCAGTGGATATGGATAGTGCGCCTCATAACTCAGTTTATTACTAAATATTTACTACTTGTAAGCCTTATTCCATGATAAGTTGCGAAGTATTTTTGAATGCGTCGAAAAGTTCTCAGTGGAACTTTGTGTCATCCGTGTAAATGAGTAATAAATATTATTGTGAGTTTGACACACTGTATCGTTCTTATGGGATTTGTTAATTGTGAAAATTTTTGAAAATTTCTTACTGGAATGACTTTGAAAGCTCGAATTGTGATAGCATCTTTATTGTGGTCAAGCTGAGTAGTGAGTGTTTCTTCAGTGACAAATTCTGAAGAACTAAAATATGCATTATTTGTGTACTTTGGACAGGTTTCACGCAGCTTCTCACAAATTTATTGCTTAATTGTGGATGAATTAGCTAAGCTAAATTTTACTGAAATTAAAAAATCAAAAGATTGCTGAGATTCACTGAAGCAACCGAAGAAATTGACTATGAAGTTAAATAATATTATCTGAAAATTAGTCGGTAACTGCAGTCCCTACACACTTTAAATTATGAACAATTTTTTCGTACACCCACGTTTCCTTATGCTCTGTAGCTGATTTTAAGAGCATATAATATGTTTAAAACGCCAGAAGTCTCATTTGGTAATATTCATGTAAGTATGATAGCATTTATAGCTCTCACCAACACGAGTAGCAAAGCATCACATGGTAACCAAATGAAATACCTTTTTGAGAACAATACCATCACTGTGTTTGGTAAATAATGCATGCGATGTAGATTAGATAATTCATTATTCTGGGGAGGTATAGTATTAGATAATTCATTATTCGAGTCACTACTCGCGAATCTTAATGAGATTCCCTTCCCATGAAGGTATAGTAAATTTATTCTTTTTTGTAAAAATTATCTTAACACCTGTGACTGCAGAAAAAACCCATCAGCCAGTCGATAAATTTCACCTTGCTTCTGCACATTTCTCAGCGTGTGGTTCAGTGTATTCGTTTTTTCTAGCTTTTGCTTGACATCTCGATAACCAGATTAAATGCAAGTTTCTTCAGCGTTGAAAATGAGCCCGGGATCACAGAACCACCGCCCTATTTTATGACTGATCTGACGGTATCGAATGGTATTCGAATCGATTCATGTTGGTTGATTATATTGAAGAGATATTTATTCTTGACATTGCAGCACATCAACAACAGTCATCTATTGAATCCTTTCAAGTTGCGCACATCATTAAACAAGCCAGCTGATTAGCGTAGAGTTAAATGCTGAAAAAATAACACCTTCAATCAATTTTCGGTTATTTGCATTTTAGTTTTTAACAACCGTAACTAATGGAAGTTAGTTTTTGTTAAGGTCCATTATTATGGACAGATCCCATCTAAAATTTGTTTTTCAGTCAGAATGTCCACCTATTAGGTCGGAATCTGACAGATTTCAAGCAGTAAGTACTTAGTTTTTGATTGCTATGTAGTAGTGTTTTTTCGCAAACAAACTAACAAAAACAGTTATATAAAATAGGCTCAAGAACTAAGATTCCTTCTAGATCTCCTGAAGGAATAATAAATGATTAAAAATGCGTTGTAAATATCTTTTGCAGACATTTGATTGATTAATGTACTTGAATCTGATTCATTGACGTCAGAAAATTCTATTGTTTTAGGCACACCTTATGTATATAAATCAGCTAAAAGAAATTGGTTTTTTGCAACACTTTAAATACTCTTGTTTCTTGGAGTAAATTCTGTAGCTTCTTGATGTGATGGGACTAGAAGTAAATTCAGCAAAGTCAGGCAACAATACCAAGGTATGCGCTGAATAAGGCTGCGCTATTAGAAGGAACTTAAGGTTACAAATACCTTGGAATAAACAGAACTAGTGCACCTACCCGTGAAAGCTACAATAAAGTCCGTGCGAAGATTTTAATGAGAATTGAGCGATTAGCCAATACTGCACTAAATGGCAAGAACTTTATCAAGGCTATGAATGAGCATGACACAAGTATAATAAATTATTACGTCGGGGTGCTAAAGCTGGAGCCGGAAAACTTCAAGGCTATAGACCACGACATCAGACAGTTACTAATTAAATACGGAATTCACATGCAACCTGCATGCTTGGAAAGACTGTACCTGCCAAGGGACGAGCTAGGACGTGGACTC